ACTCGGCTCGAAGATCCTTGATCTCTTCCTCTTTTTACCTACTAAGAAGTTTGAGGGAATTTCTCTCCTCCGAAAGCCCTCGGAAGTCAGCCTCACATCAGCTCAGCTCTACCTGAGACTTGGAAAACGCCTCCTCATGAAGAGCTAAAGCCTGTATGAAAAAGAGAAAAAGTTAGGCAGAAAATGGAAGAATATGACATCAACAAAGGGAATCGAGACCTACCCGATTCAGGGCTCGTTGATCCTCGAAGAAAAGACCCGATGCGTCACTCGGGTCGGCAGCATCCTCGATACCTATAAGCAAATCGTGAAAGGGGTCCTCTCCCTCATGAGCTCTGTCTACCTCGAGGGTCCCCAAAGCTCGGGCCTCCCGAATTGCCCCTTCGGAAAAAGCAGGAAGAGTGGGCAAGTCTCCGATTATTATTGCCCCAAGTAAGTCACTTGGGGCATTCTCCTCAGTTCGAAGGGCTTCAGGGCCGGTCCATTCAGATATACCCACCATTTGTTCACTTTGGTGGGAGGCATCCTCGATTTCCAATGACTCGGACACTTTTTCCGAGTCCTTCTCCGATATCCCCTCAATTCGAGACGGAGTCTCATTAACCGCTATCGATCCAGTTGCCTTTGAGGCATCGATGGTTTTCTTCACTCGGGCCACCAGTACGGAGCTGTCGTTTTCTTCTTCTTCATCTTCATCCCTTAGACGCCGAACAGATTCCTCGGTCAGAGGGATGATGTTCTTCCTCGACTTACGAGCCGTCCTTTTCTTAAGTTCTGAATCCTCAGAGGTAGAGGCCCTTTTTTCTCTTATTGTCCTTCGCCGGTTTCGGAACCGGGACCGAAGTCTTTTCCTCGCCAGACGGGGGCCTCATGGCCGTATCTTTGCCCAGGCCTACACGCAAGAAAATTGGTTAAGTATAAGAAAGACATTTTGATCAAATCATCAAATATATGAAAAGGAGGCTTACCATGATTTTTGGCCTCCCATCAACCCTTTGAGAAATCATGCCATGAGTGCTCGACGTACGTAGAGGTCGAGGCCAGGTCCCGAACCCAGCTCTCGAGATTAGGAATTGCACGAGGCATCTAAGCAACTGCTACATCACGAAAAGCGATATCGATAAGAAGAAGTAAAGGGGCAAAACAATAAATAATAACTAACAGTGGGATTATACTTACGCTTCATATTCCATCTCTTAGGAAATGGCATCTTCTTAGCCGGAATTAGGTCGGAAGTCTTCACTCGAACGAACCGGCCCATCCAGCCTCGGTCCTTGTCCTCGTCTATGCTCAAGAACAGCACTTTGGTGGCCCGATGTTGGAATTTTATTAACCCGCCTCGATAGAGGCGGGGGATGTATAACCTGATGAGGTGGTCAAGGGTGAAAGGCATCCCCTCGACTTTGCTCACGAAGAATCGGAGCAGAATAACAATTCGCCAAAAGNCTGATGAGGTGATCGAGGGTGAAAGGCATCCCCTCGACTTTGCTCACGAAGAATCGGAGCAGAATAACAATTCACCAAAAAGAAGAATGGATTTGGCCTAGGGTTATTTGATACTGACGACAAAAATCAACGACGACGAGGTCGAGGGGGCCCAGCGTGAAAAGGGTAAGTGTAAATACTTAGAAACCCCTCCACATGGGTAGTTATGTCCTCTTCGATGGTCAGGATCACCACCTCTTTATCCCCCCAGTTACAGTCTTTCTTTACCTGCTCGAGGTGTTTCTCTCTAATCGAGCATAAATATCTTGACACAGGCTCACATCGACCTGGAACCGATGAAGCCTTATCGGTTTTGAAATCGGAGTTTAACGCGCACCCCCCGGGAATACACTCCTCAATACGAGGTTCCACCGGCGTTTTTCTGCCGGCCGATTGAGAAGATGAAGCAGCTTCTTTTTGTGGTACCGTTTTTGATGTTTTTGCCATTTTTTGTATGAGTTTGATGAAAGAAGGAAGTAGTAGAACTTGGTGTTTTGAGAAGGGGTTAACAACAAAACCTGAGGAATTTGCAAAATGGAGAAACTTGAGAGAGGTAAAGGCTTTGGAGAAGAAAGTGAAAGTAAAATTTGAATCAATGAAGAGAGGGCCTATTTATGGGATTTACAGCGACGGTTCAAAAGCACTAGTGGCCGACCACCAATTGACTCTCATTAATGACTTGGGGAACCGTACTGACGGGACGTTTTCGGTCATTTACGAGGATGACATCATGATAGGTCAAGCTAGAGAATCGAAGACTCAGTTCGTTCCTTGTCGATATACTCCAAAAAACGAGGGGACTATCTGTATACGGTTAAAATCGGGCCCACCCTATTTTTTAATTTGACCGAGACCGGGAGTTTGCATCGAAGGATGGCCTCGTAACGAAATAGGCAATATCACGAGGATAGGGTATCGAGTTCAGAACCGAGGTACCTGTCAAGATCGAGGCTAGTAGCGATCAAAGCCAAACAAGATAGACATCGAGCAAGATCGAAGATAGCACAATAACATAAAGGCGAGATATCCGTGACTGGTCGAGGATCACGGTGAAAATGTCGGAACGGATCAAATTAGAAATAGTTAATTAGCTATTCATGGAATTTTCTTCTATAATTAGAGTTATACCATAAGTAGAACTCATCTACTATATAAAGGGGAGTATTAACTATTTGTAAGGGACGTTTTGACAGACAAAAAAAAGCAATACAATTCTCTTTATTGTTCTCACCATTGTTATTCAGCTTGTTATACTTTCATAGTTCTTGTACCAATCAGTTCGAGGGTGTCCAAACTCGAGGGCTGAGTTTCATTCTAACACTGGTTTGCTTTACTTTATTGTTAATTATCAATTGATATTAGGTGAAATCACGTGTCCTTAGAACCATATTATAAGTTTAATTGTTATCCAATTTTAAGGATAAACAGTATTATTGTGTCATAAGCTGATCTTTATTGATTTTTTGAAAGTGTTGCAATAATTGGTTTCAAATACGCTATAAGTTTATCAAACTGTGTAGTTTTGGATAAATTATAACCTGAGTCCGTAGTTTTTCTTTTTATTCCTAAGAAATTTGATTTTTTTTGTAATTGAAATGGGGCTATTTCCTTATTTACATTTATGTTTTAAACTTAATATAGACAATTAATTTTTTACTAAAATACGTAAATAAGTACCCCTTAATAACGTCACTTGCTATATGAACTAGCACCTTGCTTCGTCTTTTACCTGCCTGTAAATGAAGAAAATATTTTTCGAGAAAAAACTTTTTCTTGTCATACTAAACATACTCATACAGTAATTAATCTTCTGAATGAATAATAATATCCTTAATATCTCCATGTTGTTATGTCTTTTACATTTTATCTTAATATCAAATTTTACGTTTTTTGTTTAAAATGATACTCTGATCACTTTGACCACAAAAATCAATCAAATCATTCTCGAAACTCAATCTGAGACAAGTGGAATAACAGTTTCATTGAATGTACGTATACACCCACAGACCAACTATAGTTTAATTCGAATCAAGATTCTATGCCTTTTTTTAACGAAATAAACTTAATTAAGATGCGTACAAGTCCATTGGCGGAGTTAGCTCATTGAGTGCGGGTTCGACCGAATTCAATCGTTGTGGTCTAATTCATGTATTTGTCTTTAAAAAATATATTAAATATATATAAATTATTAATTTAGAACTCATTGATTTAAAAGGACTAGAATACCGAACTCATAAGTTTCAAATCTTGGCTCCGCCTATACGTACTACCATGCATAGATCAGGGCAAGGACAACCGCGCCAGCTAACTAAAAATAAAATCTCTAATAAGTTTGACTAAAGCTTAGCAGCCGACCAAACCCATTGGTATTTTAGCTGTCAGAACTAATAATATGTTTCCTCAAATTTCTAAAATCAATTTATTTTGAGTTTTTAAAAAATTATTTTTGGTGATAAACAGTTTGTGTTTGACTAACTAATTTGAATAGTAATTCGTGTTTGGCCAAGCTTTTAAAAACTGGTTCTAAGTGTATTTTTCTCAAAAGTGCTTCTTAGAAAAATACTTTTGGAAATAAGCTAGTATTTTTTTCTGTTTCTCAAAAAGTGTTTCTGCTTCTCCTCAAAAATACTTTTTTCCTTCTAAAAGTTTGGTCAAACACCTCATTTTTTTATAAAAAGCACTTTTGGTCCAAAAAAAAAATACTTTTAGCCCAAAAAAAAAAGTTTGACCAAACAGATTATAAATTACATTTAAGAGGAAAGAAAGAAAAACCTCATGCCATCTCAATAGCTTGCAGTAGTGGCGAAACCAAAAAAAAAAACTCTAAGGGTGTTTAGAATTGAAAGAAGTAAAAAAAAAAATCTGACAAAAGATATTCAATATATGTTATATACATCTAAAATGTAAGTGTAATTTTTTATAATATCTAATGAAGAGTGGTCGATTGACCACCCTTAGCAAAAGGTGACTTCGCCCCTGGCTTGTAGTTGTGGCCAGCAGTGGTGGACAGAGGCAGATCTAGGAATTGAAGTGTATGAGTTCCTACCACAATTTCAAGTCAATATATCATAATAATCGAACTAAGGAACAAGTATCGATTATGAACACTATTTACTTCACCCGCATATGCGTTAAGCCTTTCTATACCTTTATTTCAAACCTAAAATTATCTTTTGTAAAAGAATCACTTACTTTTTTACTATATCCTCCAATCTCATTTTTAAACAAGTAACAACATAAGCAAAACACTGCATCTTCTTTAATACTATATTCTAACCATCCAGAATATGAAGTTTTAAACCATTCCGGATTAAAGTGACGTAATTTTCTACCAAAATTATTTTTTGGAAAAATAAATGTCTTTGAATATAGTGTCTTCTCACTCGGTCGCATAGATTAGGAGGATATTTTGAAATTTATTTTCTTTTACCAGGATCAGGGTTAGGAAGATTCAAATCCAACATAATATATTTCGTGATGAATGGGAAGAATTGACATTGTCATTAACCACTTACATGAATGAGAGTTTAGCGAAGAAGAACTAGAAGTAGAACTTGAAGAGGTTTGCGGCTCGAAAAATCTCTTGATCATCTTGACTCACTAAAATCCCCTACAAATCATAAGACACAAAGTAAATATTACAGTAAAGAATTTTTCCCAAAAGATCACTTTACAAAGAATACTCCAAGGAGACGAGAGAATCGCTAAACACATCAACAAAAGAAAAATTCTAATGCGATTCTACTTCTTGTTTATTAATTTTTTCTTAAAAAATAAGATTTAGAACCCAAATTCATAAGTTAAAATAAACGATTAAAATTTACAAAAGCTAAAAATAATAATAAAAATTAAAGTAGATGATCCCAATCCCAAATCCAAAGAATATTAATACACTACTTTTACAAGAAGTGATCATAACAATGATTACAAAAAGTTAAAGAGCTATTATTTCACAAAATATAATATAAGAGGAAAATAATTATTAAAAAAAATTGAAAGAGGGAGAAGACCTGCAATGGATCGCTGGCTTTGTCTTTGATAGGCAACAAAAAAAGAAGCCAAGATTTAAGAAGCCAAGAATGAAGAATAGTGGCTGCAATTCTCGTTTGAAACCCTAACCTTTGTTTTTTCAATGTTTGATGTGGATATTTGATACAAAATAACTTTTGGGGAGATTTTGATTTGGTTGTTTCTTTTAGGTTATCTTTAGCCATTTATTACTATTTTTTTATTTTTAAAAAATAGACTAAAGAGAAAGTAGTACTAGCTTGACATGGAGTTTAGTGTTTTGTGGTCCCCAGTACTTTTCTTTTATTTCTTCTAGTTCATATAAAATATTGCTCAAAAAACAAAGAAAAAAATAAAATAATTTTACGGGAATTCGAACTCACATTAACAAGGTATGGGACACGAGCCACACTTGGGTTCCCTGATTTACCATTGAACCAACAATACGTTTTAGGTCTAGGTTCCCATATAATTATTCTTATACATTCAATGAATTTCTTAATACAAATACAAGGTCTAGGAAAAAGCTACTGGATTTTCGGAAACCCATACCTATAACTGTAGATCCGTCCTTGGTGGTGGATGCACCCTTATAGCATCGAGTTTAAATTTGAACGAACTTTTAACGTGAAGTATAAATTTAGGCCCATATTTAAAAAATATGATAGATACAGATGCTAAGAATCAAAAAAAATTAAGCTCACATAATTTAAATCCGCCATCATTTGTCGGAAAAATCATAGAAACACGGATTGCATTATCAAATAAATGCTCACGTGTGCCCACACGTTCGCTTACTGTGCACACGTGTTAGGTACAACAGAACAGCGCCGCTTCTTTTTATTCACTTCAACGCTATTCACGTTCTGAATTTGACTTCAAACTCCTTTTCCTTTGACCCCACCAAATCCCCTCGGCTCGAATTTACCTTAATGCCCTACTCCAAATTGATACATACACCTATTATAAGCGTTTTCATGATCTTTTAGCCCATTTGAATGAAGTATAAAAGAGGAGCTACGCAAAGGAAATTAGATTTAGATTTTATTGGGGGAGACAAATTTTCACTATCTCAATCAATTTAAATAAGCCAAGAAAAAGATGAATGTGTAGATTAATTACGACCAACTAAAGGTAAAAATGTCAAGTTATAACCAAGAGTATTGCATCTTCACTACTAAAAAAAATAGAAAGTAGCAACAAAAATATTTTGTAGGTAAACAACAAAATTTGTCGTTAATTCTATTTAGCGATAAATTATTAAAAAAATCTATTATTTACAAACGATTTAGCGTCATATTAGAAGTTTGCAGCTAATTCTAACTTTTTGAGTAGTGATTTGAACTTTGAAGTATCAATGGCAGAATGTTACCGGTGTTTAATTCTTTTTGTTTTTGGTAAGGATTGTTTGACCTCCTTGCTGGTAGGTGGCCCTATTCTAGTTCTAGTTGAAAGACCAATAAATGTTCCTACTAAAGTAAACTCAGTTTCAAAATTATAACGGAGAGTACTGTCGCCTTTTGAAGTGTCAATGGCGTAAGGTGACCGTACCTAAGCTATTTCAAAGGGACTTAAAAGAGTGAGATTCATATAATCAAAGAAAAGAGAAAGATGAGGAGAAAATCTTGGCTTCATCGTCTAAATGTAGTTTTACTAGTCAAAATGATTTCATCACTTTTAGGGTAACCATCAACCATATGAAAGTTATATTTCTCACTACAACATAGTTATGCATTTATGGCTACGAAATCTCAACTATAAATTTAAATTTCGTGGCTAGTACCTAACAATAGCCACAAAAATTAAAGTTCCGTGGTTTTTTACAAATTCATAAAATTTCTTAGCCACAAAATTATATTAACAAAGCTAATTCCTCATTTTTGTTATGGTTGCTAATTATCGTGGCAACAATTGCCTAAATAGCTATAAATTTATTGCTACGGTATAATTTCGTAGCTAATCATAAGTTTTTTTCGCGCATTAAAAGTTATTGTAGCGATAGTAATCTTTTACCTACAATAAAATTTTTGAAACAAACTATTGTAGCTAAAATAAATATTTTTGCTTCAAGTTATAAAATATCGTGACAATAGTTGATTTAAAAGCTACGATTATTAGTCATGAAGACAAGATATAGCCACGGATCTTTTGATATGATAAAATTTCGTAGCTAATCATTAGTTTTTGCTACATGCTAAAACTTACTGTAACAAAATTAATTTTTAGTCACAATAAATTATTTAAAATAAAATGTTGTATCTGAATAAATAATTTTGCTTTAAGTTCTAAAAAAAAACTATTACTATATTTGGCTTAACAATTATTTGTCATAAATGATATAAACCACAGATTTATCAGTATGATAAAATTTCATAGATATTTATAAGTATTACCACGAATTGAAACTTATTGTAGCAATAATAATATTTTACAACTATTAAATTAGTTGAAACACAATCATGTAGTTAAGGGATAATTTTGCTTCAAGTTAGAAAGAAATTCCAAATAGTTGGCTTAATAGTTATAGTTTTTTATCAAGAAAAAATGAATAGTAATAGATTCAAAATATCAATAAACTTTCATAGTTGACTATAATTATATTATCGTGCATTTGAGGCTACCATTGTAATAATAATATTTTAACCATAATAAATTAGGTCAAAATTTTTTAAAGATGAATATTTTTGCTTCGAGTATGAAAGTCATGACAAGACTTGGTCTAGAAATATTCGGTTATGAAAAATTAATTTCATAGACAAATAAGATNAATTGAATCTAAAAAGTATAAAAACTATAATGAAAAAATATATATTAAAATAACAACGATTCTGCAATGAAAAACAAAATTTATCGTTGGTTTTATGCTAACTAATAGCAAAAAAATTAGAAATAGAAATTTCTGCCGCTAACATTATTATTCATATTAAATTTTTCAATTAGTTACACAAAATACTCCTATAGTATTAATCAATTTCAGGTACATCCGTTTTATTTTAAATTTAAACTTATATCCCATATATTATTGAAATTATACACTTACACCCTCTATGAGGTATATCTGTCACTAATTTTCTTAAAATATAATGTTAAATGATAAATTACAATTATAAATAATTTTTTATGTTTAATTTTTATGATATTTTAAGAAGAGAAGAAATATTTTTGTTGTAAATATTTATTCACCTCATTGATTAGAAAATTAATAAATATTTTTTGAAATATTTATCTCTTGAAACTCTTAAATAGAAAATTAATACAAATTATTTATTTAGAAGACTAGAATGATTGTGTATTTTGCATAATCGATTTATCTGTCGAAGCTCTTACATATAATGATGTTATTCCTATTTTTCAAGAAATATTTAAACCTCCTATAGAATAAAGATATTACACAAATGAAATTTTATCCAACTAAGTAAATTTAAAATAACTTTGAAGCAAATGAATAAATAAAAACTAAAATAAAAATGAGATATTCGTATTATGAGTTTCGAAAGATATATGTTTCAAAACATATTTATTATATTCCTTAGTCAATTAGGTGAATACAAGTTTTCGACAAAAATATTTATTTTCTTTATAAGTTTCATGAAAGTAAATACATAAAAAGTTTTTATTTATAATTTAGTTTTTCTTTTAATAAGTATGTTTTAATATACTTAGTTATGGATATACCTCGTAAGAGTTATAATCGTAAGATTTTCATAATATATAAAGTTTATAAGTGTTTAATTTTCTTATATCTAATTAGACTAAGAATTAAGAGTTTAATATGGTTGAAATCTAAGTCGATAAAAAAACTATTATATTATAATTATTAAACAAGTCTAACCTATAAGTTTCAATTATAATTACAAAACAATGAAACTATATACCATTATTGTGTGCATGCCTAATTATAACATCGAATTTAAACAAATATAATCTTATACCAATGACATTGTACAAGAAATTATCTATATTATACACCGAATCAAAGAATTAAGAATTTAATATAATTCATATACAAGAAGGGGTCGTGTAACTTTTACGATTATTATTCGATATTTTATAAACTTAAATAATTTCAATATTATTAGGTTCTATTTCAAAACGTTGATAATTTAATATGGTTGATAAAGGGTGTATAAAAAAAATAATTAGTATATCATTATTCATACTAAACAAAGTATTACTTGTGATTTTCTAATATAATTTAAATAAATATGAACTTTGTGCTTGTATCTATTTGCATTGATCACTAATTGTATTCAATTTGAATATGCATAATTAAAGACTGCTATATAGTTTAAGGACTAAGATTATTTGCTATGAGTATATATTTCATAGCAAAAAAGTATTATCAATATAGCTACAATGCAGAAAATATTCGTAGCAATAAGTATTAGTTAGCCACGGATCATATAAAGTCAGTAGCTAACTTTTAGCTACGCTATAATTTGCTACAGATGTTACGAAAAAAATATTGTGGCTAAAGTGTTTAGCTACGAATTTTTTTTATATTTAGCTACAATGTATTTTGTACAAGTTACCAGTTGACTGAATGCAAAATCTTACCACATACAATCAATATAATAGTCTGTTTGGCCAAGCTTCTAAAATCAACTTATTTTAAGAAGTGTTTTTTCTCAAAAGTATTTTTTTTGAAAGTACTTTTTGTGAGAAACAATTAATTTTTGGCTAATTAATTTGAAAAATACTTCTGAACATGAATTATTATTTGACCAAACTTTTTAAAAGTGCTTCTAAGTTTATTTTTCTCAAAAGTACTTTTTTTAAAAACGCTTTTAGGAAGAAACTATTTTTTTCTGCTTTTCCAAAACTGCTTATATTTCTACTCAAAAGCGTTTTTTCCTCTAAAAGCTAAACATTCAACTTTAAAAAAAGTAGACAAACAAACTATAAGTGATGAATCCAAATCTCGATATATCTTAGTTCAGATTATGATAATTTAGAGTATTAATAGAGAAGTTCTTTTACTATAACTTCTTTTAAAATTTACTGCTATTTTTAAGAAAAGATTTTTAATACTACATATGAATTAATATCTTATACAGTTTTTGAGTTTTGAGTCCGATTGATGAAATCATTGATATAAATAATTTTATCTTTTACTTCTTATTCTATCAGTTGTAATTCTTTTAAGTTCA